CACCTAGGCCAAAATAAATAAATAAACAGCAACTTCATAGACAAAAAAGGGGAAAAAAAGAAACCTTTTATCTTCGGCCTTTTTTTTTTTTTTTTTTAGAGATTTAAGAAAAAGAGAATGAGTCGGGGAGCAAGTTGAGGGGAGCAGAGGGAGAGAATCTTCAAGCAGACTCTGGGCTGAGCCCAGTCTGAGGCGGCTGGATCTCAGGACCCTGAGATCACGACCCAAGCCCAAACCAAGAGTCCCACTCTTACCCCACTGCAACACCCAGGCACCCCTATCTTTGGCCTTTTTAACCATCTCACACAAGCCAACGACTTATAGTACAGCTGAGTACACACACAAAAAATGTTACTGGAATGTTCAGAATAAGATTGTCTTGTTGCTGTTTTTGCTTTTTCTTACAAGGTTTTATTTCTCCTTTGAGATTAGAATGAACACAGGCACACCACAGGTAAGTCAGAAGTAGGACAGAGAATGCTCTGAAGGCTGGTTGGGTCATCAGAGATCACTGAAAATGGCTGACCACCAAGAAGATGTACAGAAATATAAAATGTAAATAGAAAATACAAATTTTCCTTTTTAAAGTATTTTTAAGAAAAAAGGCAGGGCCTGGGAAGTTTGGGTTCTTCTTTCCTCCCCTGTTGCAAATTCTCTCTCTGGTTTTGGCTGGTGGAGGGCGTGTGTCACCTGCGGGGTGGTGCTGCCCACATGGGGCAGCCGGCAGGACTGTCCCCTCGAAGGTGACCACATTTAGAGTCTGAGACGGGAAGCGAAGGGTGTATAGGTTAAGTTTTGTTAAGTGTAACTTTTCCTTTTTTGCTGTGTAGTCATCCTCATTGGTCTTCTGCTTCTTGGTGTCGGCATCCTCCTCCTCATCTTCAGCTGCCTGGGCTTCCTCATCTTCTTCTCCATTCTCTTCCTCACCGTCGCCTTCCTTCTCCTCCTTCCTTACATCTTCCTCTTCTTCCACCTCATTGTCAGCCTCCTGCTCCCCACCTTCCTCAATCTCAGTGTCCCCGTTAGCAGGTGCATCTCCCCCATCTTCCACCTCCTCCACCACTTCCTTCTTCTCCTTTAAGTCCTTGGTGGTGATCTTGGAGCTGGTGTCCACCGCGGCGATCTGGTGGGGCACTCGCTGATCCGATGCACTGGATTCAAAAGAGAGCGAGGGTTCCAGGACTCTGGCAATAAAGCTGCCAGAGTCCTCGGTGGCGGAGGAGGTGCCCAGCAGAGGTGGCTGCAGTGAAGGGGAAGCCACACTCGGGAATGATGGCTTTTCAGAGCAGCCAGTGGGAAAGGTGTAAGGTGTAAGGTCTGTGTCTAAGGTCATTATTTTGCACGTGGATGCCCAATTGTTCCACCACCGTTTACTGGAAGAAACTATTTCTCCACTGAATTGACTTTTCTCCTTTGGCAAGATTTTACTTATGTGGGTCTATTTTGGGGCTTTGTGTTCAGCTTTATCGATCTATCTGTTCCTTTGTCAATACCACACTGTTTTGGTTATTGTAGCTTTATGATGTCTTAAAGTCGGATAGTGTCAGTCTACTAAGTTTGTTCTGTTTCTTCAATGTTGTGTGGGCTATTCTGGGTCTTTTACCTTTCTATATAAACTGTTGAATCAGTTTGTCAATATCCACAAAATAACTTGCTAAGATTTTGATCTACATTACATTGAGCCTATAGATCCAGTTGGAAAGAACTGGCATCTTAATAGTATTGAATTTTCCTATTCATGTCTATACAACAGCTCCCTGTTTATTTAGATCTTTGGTTTCTTTCATCAGAATCCTTGTGGTTAAAATTTTACTACAAATTCAATTTTTTTAGAAGATATAGTTTATCTACTTTTCTTGAGTGACATTTGATAGTTTGTTTTTCATGTGATTCATTCATTTCATGTAAGTTTGCAAATTTATTGTCATGAGGTTGTTCATACTACTCCCTTATTATCCTTTTAATATGTGCAAAATGTGTGGTCATGCCTCTTCTCTCATTCCTAATGTTGGATATTTGTGTCTTGCCCCACTCTCTCTTTCCCTCCCTCTATCCCTCTTGGTTAATCTATCTAGAGATGTATCAATTTTGTTAATCCCACCAATGTACCAGTTTTGTATTGCATTCATTTTATATATGTTTCCTGTCTCCTATTTCATTGATTTCTGCTCTGATTGTTATTGTTTCCTTTCTTTTGCATACTTTGTGTTTCATTTGCTCTCTCTCTCTTTTTTTTTTTTTTTTTTAGTTTCCTAAAGTGAAAGTCGAGTTCATGGCTTTGAATCTTTTTTTCTTTTTTAATATAGATATTTAGTGTTATTTTCCCCTAATTATTTCTTTAGCAACATCCCACAAACTTCGGTATGTTGTGTTTTCATTTTTATTCAGTTCAAAATGCTTCCTAGAAGAAGTACTTATAAAATGGTGGAGTGAAGACTTCCCAAAATTTCCCCCTCCATAAAAGCAATGAGAACGTTGTGGCAAAAATTATCAAAATTCAAAATTCTAGAAATTAATCAAAGGCTTACAACAATCTGAGGATGTTTTTTCAAGAAAATCACTTGAGTTTCAGTAATAGTGACCTTTGCGGAGTTTTAACTTGCCCTGTTCCCATTCCCCATTACCTAACTCTATGGTAGCCTTGGAAACCAATAGTCTTGTAAGCACAGTAGCTGTGAAAATCAGCAGCCAAGCAGGTCCTGGAGGGATAAGAAAGGGTTTGGGGCTTCTCAAAATGCTCCATCTCCAGAGCATTTTCACCATTTGACTGATCTGGAAGCTCTTTGGAAAAGCTCTGAAAATGAAGCATTATTTGACATCACTCAGAGCATGCTCTGTGCAAGCAATATATCACCAAAGCACTTATCAAAAAGGATGACAAGCAATTATTTAACATCACCACTATCTGAAGCAATGATGACATTGGGGCTTACACCAGGCTGACCCAAACAAAACAAAACAAACAAACAAAAAAACTTAAAAGGAAGAATGGGGAATGAGATATTCATAAAGGGATTTAAAAACCTTCAACATACTTCTAGAAATCTAAAAGGCTCTGTGCATGCATAGGGCTGTGTGCAGGCCCAGAAAAGAACTGACAGGGCCCTAATCTCTAACCTCAGGCTAACCTTGAAGCTCTGCATGAGCAGGAAGCAAAAGTTAAAGCAAAATTGTAAAGTGCCTGCCAGATCATTGGAGGCTCACCTTAATAAACACAGAGAACCACCTGGCAAAGCTTGGTTGACTTATTGGTTCAAAGCATTTAATAAATCTCTGTCCAATCATTACCCTGACCACTAAAGCTACCTGCAGAGATTTCAGAGGATATATACCAAGAATACAGACTTTACAGGGTTACCCAGGAAACACTAAACAAACAAACATCAGCTGTCAAAACAACCATAACAGTCACAAATTAACTCCAAGCTAGGGGGAGGGGGACCTGATTTTCAGAGTTCCCACATTTTATTCATTTATTTTAAATGCACTGTTTTGTTTGAAACAAAAGAAGTATGAAACATGCAAAGAAGCATGAAAACATGGCCCACCTGGAAAAACACAGGGAAGAAAAGTAGTCAGTGGAAACTCCTCTGATGAAAACAAGATGTTGGACTTACTTGACAAAGATTTTAATCAGCGATTATAAGTATGTTCAAAGAACTAAAGGAAACCATGTCTAAATATTAAAGGTAATTATGAGACTGATGTCTCCTCAAATATACAATATTAGTAGATAGGAATTATAAAAACAAATAATTAGAAATTCTGTAGTTTAAAATAACAATAACAGAAATTAAATTCACTTAGAGAGGCTCAACAGCAAATTTGAATTAGCAGAATAATCAGTAGGCTTGAATATAGGTCAATTCAGATGATCTAGCCTGGGGTACAAAAGGGAAAAAGAATGAAGAAAAAAGAACAGAGCCTCAGAGACCTGTGGGATATCATCATACCCAAGTTTGCCAACATATGCATAATGGGAGTCCCAAAAGGAAAGGAGAGAGAAAGAAAGCAGTAGAAAGAATATTTGAAAACTTAGCAGCTGAGAACCATCTGAAGGTAGTGAAAAACATTGACCTACACATCCAAGAAGTTAAATGATCCATGAGTAAGATAAACACAAAGAGATCCACACATAGATATATTGTAGTCAAATTGTTAAAAGCCAGATCAAAGAAAGAATATGACAGCAACAAGAGAAATGTGACTCATCACATACAAGGAATCCACAATAAGTTTATAGCTGACTTCTCACCAGAAACCAGGGAAGCCAGAAGGCCATGGATGACATATTCAAAGTGCTAAAAGAAAAAGACTATTGGCCAAAACTATCTTTTAAAAAACTAAGGAGAAGAAAAGACATTTCCAGATAAACCAAAACTGAGGGAATTTGTCACTTAGCAGACTTATCCTCCAAAAATACTCTTAAAGGGAGTCACTGAGACTGAAATGAAAGGACAGGAGACAGTAATTTGAATCCACACAAGGAAATGAAGACCATCAGTAAAGGTAACTACATAGGTAAACATAAAATCATGATGCATTTTTATTAAAATATTGAAATTAGATTCACACACCAAAATAATCTTTTAAAGTGTACAAATTCAGTGGTTTTGAATATATTCAGAATTGTGCAATTATCATCACTATTGAATTTTAGAATATTTTCAGCCCTAAAAAAAAGACCCATATCTGTTAATAATCTCTCCATTCCCTCCTACCCCCAGGCCTTGGGAACCACTAATATACTTTCTGTCTCTATGCCTATTCTTGTCATTTAACATAAATGAAATCATAAAATATGTGCCTACGTGACTGGCTTCCGACACTTAGGGTGTTTTTAAGGTTCATCCACATTGTAGCACATTATTAGTACTTTATTCCTCTTTATAGCTAAATAATATTCCATTGTATGGATATACCATATTTGTGTATACATTCATCAGTTGATAGACATTTATGTCTATCACCGTTTCCACTGTTTGGCTACAATAAATAATGCTGCTATGAAAATTTATGCACAAGTTGTTGTGTATGGACATATGTTTGTAACTTTCTTGGGTCTATACCTAGGAGTAAAATTGCTAGGTCATATGGTAACTTTAACTTTTTGAAGAACTGCCAAACTATTTTCCAAATAGCTGCACCATTTTACAAGCCCACCAACAACATATGAGGATTCTGGCTTCTCCACATCTTTGTCAAAACTTGTTATAGTCCATGATTTTAACCATCCATGTGGGTATGAAGTGTTATCTCATTGTGTTTTTCATTTGCATTTTCCTAATGACTAGTGACACTGAGCATCTTTTCAGGGCATTATTGGCTATCTTTATTCTTTGGAGAAATGTCTGTGCAAACCTTTTGTTCATTTTTAAATTGGGTTATTTGTTTTTGTATTGTCAAGTTGCAAGCATCCTCTATATAGTGCGGATGCTAAATCCTTATGAAACATATGATTTACAAATATTATCTCCCATTCCATGGACTGTTTTTTTTTTTTTTTACTTCTTGATTGTGCTTTTTGATGCACAAAAGTGGGGGGGGTTGTTTTTTTGTGGGGATTTTTAGAGACAGGGGGAGGGGGAGAAGGAGAGAGAGAATCTTATCTCCAGCACAGAGCCCAATGTGGGCCTCGATCTCATAACACTGAGATCATGGCCTGAGCCTAAATCAAGAGTCCGAGGCTTAACCACCTGAGCCACCCAGGTGCCCCATTTTTTTTTCTTTTTTTAATTCTTGAGAACTATGAAGTCCTTGCAAGCATAGCTCATTTCTGTAGATTATTTTCCAAAGGTGTACAAAATGGAACCAAAATGGAAAATCCCTCAAGAACATGAAGAGGTGCAACATTTAAAGCTACGAATACCCAGTAGCAAGTGTTCCAGCCTGCAGCTGCCAGCCGCCTTCTCTTCCTGTTCCCAAGAGTTAGTGGGATGAAAGCATCTTCCCTCTGACTGGTTCCATTTCTTTTTTCTCGACCTCTGGGTGTGCATGGTTCAGCACCTTGAGGAAGTCGGTTGTTTTTGCCCGCATACGTGTGTGAATATCAGCCTTAGAGCACTTGATGTGCTAGTGCAGATTGCCCTGGAATGGGTAGATCAGGTTGATGGTGTTGTCTCAAGCACTGGAGTTGGTGTGGCGAGGGAACGGCACGAAGGTAATATAGCCAGTGTTGTTACCCACAGCAGCATCCATGTCTTTCAGCTCCAGAGGAGCTTCCCTGTGGAGCTTCACATGTAGGGCTGTGTGCCTGGTTCTGCGCCCTTCTTTGAACTCTTGCATGAACACTTTTCCAATGACCACATCGTCATCATCCTTAAACACTGTGCT